TGAACCCCTCAGCGGCACGGGTGTAAGGAGGAGAAAGCCCAACAGAGGCTGAAATACAGTACTGGGGCCTGTCGGTCTGCCCTGAGCGTCTCTGATGTCAGCCAAATTACTGACGGCCAAATTAAAAAAGGAATCGAGTGCTTACTGCTTACTTAAAAAAATCAATTCCCAGATTCGTTATAGATAATTCCAGACAAACAAACAGAAAGGGCAGTGAGGTAGAATGCAGTAAACACAATGTAAATGTTTTTTTTTTTATAAAACTATCGATCAGGAGAATGTTTTGAAAAAGCCTAGGTGTTAAAAGTATAGAAGTGGCCATTAATGTTTGAGCTGATTCATAGAATCATAGAATGTTTCGGGTTGGAAGGGACCCGTAGAGGTCATCTAGTCCAACCCCCATCATGTGGACCATGATCCATTTAAGTCTTCAATGTCTAGTTAATGAAGAAAGGTAGGTGTTAATGAGGTTAGGGATGTTAAGAAGAGGACTGGGCATTCGCTATTGCCAGCCAGAAGAAATGCAAGGCACAGGGCCTGGGATATAATTTTGGCTTTTTCAATAGAATCCAAATAGATTAGAATTAGCATGTCTCTTTTAAAGTATCAAACACGTCTGTGTTTATTTTTTTATTTTTTGAGAGCTGTGTCTGCTCTGGGAGCACTTAGGTCATTGCCAAAATATGAACACGGATGCACAGGGGAAGAATACAGTGTGGAGAAAGATGTATTGGCAAAGCCCCTTGCTGCTGGAGTAAAACTGCCTCTCTGGGAATGCAGTCTGCGTCTATATACAGTTTTCCATCTTATTTTTGAAACTGTATCGGTCAAGAAAGACACTAATTGCTAACATTGCTTTTGGTAAAAATCCATGATGTAGTAGAAAGATCTGAGTCCTTTGCTGCTCCTAGATTGCCATGTCAAAGAACTGGTTTTGTTGTTGAGTTTTGTGACATAGTCACCCAAGTAGCAGGAATTATTGTCAAGTCTTTTTTTTGTTGTTGTTACTTGATGATATATGCACTATATTGTCTCTGAATTTGGTAGATTTCTGAACCATACTTCATGGCAGTCTTACAGGTAGGCTTTTTTTCTTCTCTGGTTGTTAAACCCATCTAATCATAGTAAAAGAATATTGGTAAGAAACGCAGAGCATCCAAAATCCTAGCCCAGGGATTTTTAGAGGTTTTTTTAAAAAATCGTATCTCAGTAGCATCTTACAATTCATCCCCATTTATGTTTATGATGGGACAGACAATTCCCTTTGCACTTGGCAATCAAATCTTTCTGTGTGACCCATACAGTTGCTTATAATCAGAATAGTATTAGAAAAGTTTAATATATTTTGCACCAGTTGGTGTCAGTTAGCAAGAAACAAAAGGACCCATTTATTTCTTTTTACAAGCTGTCCTCTATATTAAAGGTAGTTCACAATTAGTTTGGGGGCAGCTTTTGAAATGAAAGTTGAGTGACCCACAGAGGTGTTCTTTCTGTACAATGTTTTGTATAAAAAATATGCACGGGTTTTTTTAATATGAGAGTATCGCTCATTTTTACTGTACTAATATCAGGGATACACATCCTAATGAGCTTCATGTTTTAACTGAAGGCACAGGGATGTTGAATTTTACTGCGTGATGCTCTGAATGAGAAGCATTTAATTATGTCTGTTAGCGTAATATTCTGACTATGCAATGTGACCTGAAATTACCCTTCTTGTTAATTAAGTAAGGTGCACTTTAAGTAATGTGGACAAGGAGAAATAGCACCAAGCTGGTTTTAGCCTTCAGTCATGATGTAATGCCTCAGACACTCCAGTTGCTCTTGCATTATCAGAACTAATTGGATGGTTCCCAAACCTCAGACTGAGTAATACAAGTTTTTCTTCATCTTTGTGTCTGGGTGCCTAAGACAAAAGATCTGTTGTCCTCTTACTAGCTGTTTGCAAGCCTAATGGGTTTTAAATGGTATTTTTTTTAACATTTGAAGAGCAATCTTTGCAGGGTTGTTATTGGTGCTCAGGCAAACAAAGTGCTTGTTTAGTGAGCCAAAAGTGGGCAGCCAGCATCATCCTATAAATAAAGACTTGGCAGAGGAAAACTTATTAAGGTTGTTTGTACACATTCTCTTTTCCAGATATAGATTGAGCGCTGCTGGACTCTGCCAAGTCCATTCATTGTTCCAAATAGAAACTTCTTATGGTGGTTTAGAAGCTTGTGCATACCTCTCTTGATTAAATATATAAGATATCATTTATAGATAAAATACATAAGATATCTAAAGTATATACTTGTATTGTAAGTACTTCCCTCAGAATGTGTCAAAAATTACCAAAGATGCTGCATGTCTTATTTATGTGCTTTCTCATAATGCTCTTTATTCAATAGGAATGTTTGTCAGGGCTCAATGCATTTAGCATTGACATGCATTTAGCAGAAAGCTAGCTCTTTGGAAAATTGTATTTCAGTCGTTTGTAGGGCTCTCCTTACGAACACCTCAAGGACGCAAGTAAACCATTAAAAATACTGTATTTCTCTTACCATTCCCAGTGCAGTGGGACCCTCGCATCATTGCCGCAAATCCCAAAACCTTGTCCGTATGTTTCTCCCCCACAAAAAAGAATCCGTCATGGAGTTTTAACTTCTTCACCCTTTGAAAGTATATTGGCATATATTTGGTTTGAAAATGTGCTCCTGTGTGCTTGCCCCTCTTCGGGATCTTGTTGGCCTCCTCTCCTGCCTACCCGTTAAGATGGCATTTTGCCCCAGTTCGCAGTGACGCTTGCTAATGAAGTGAGTTTGGATGGGTTGCACCCATAGTGTTGGATGTGACGACCTGGCATTTGGAAATGGGGATATTCCTCCAGTTTTCATTTGGTCACACCTCTTGCCAAATCTGTGTGAACCTTCCTGAACTACACAGGCAGAAAGAACAGAACTGTCTGAGAGGTTTATGGCTGCGGAAAAAGGGAATAATTTTTTCAGCAGTAAAGCACTCAGAATATGTTATTCACAAATGCACAAACTTACAGATTCCCTAGGTCAAATTTGTCTTCTGGTGGACACTTGCAGCCCCTTTCTGGAGTTTATAAATGGCAGAACTGAAAATAAGCCAGTGGCTTCTAGGAGCACCCAAGGCTGTGCAGCCTTCCTCTTTTTTACAAGTGAGCCAGATGGCCGGGTCCAAAATACAGCTTGTATGATTTCTTTGGAGGAGACAGCTAGGTAATTGCATCATGCGGTAGTTCATGATATTTTATGACTTTGTAATTATTCTTTTCTTTCAGTATATATTCTGTATGCGGGATTTAGACAAAATAATTAATTTGATTATCCTAAGTCACCTTGTTAAGCATGGATGTTTACCCATTTCTTATTGTTATTCATTACTTGACACAGTAATAAGGTGTAGGATGGGAAGTTAATTCGCTTCTAACTACCTAAAGTAATTAATTAGAACTCTGCTTTCCCCAGGTGTACCTGAATTAACTCTCTCATGTCACCTGGGGGTTATATTACAATACTTTCGAAAATTGCTCTTTCCCCAAAGTATTATTTTCTTGTATTATACAGTTTGGAAGGACTTTTTTTTTTTCCTTACATTCACATTTGGATGACTTCATAATGTTACTAAACATAAGATATTCTGGAAATAGGAAGGTGTGGCAGGTTACAGTTAACATCATTTTTGTTGGTGCTGTTAAGAGTTTAAGATTCCCAGTAGAAATGTAAGTGCATCATACTTAGAGCATAAGTGCTGAAGGTGGAGTTATAGTAAGGCTTGTTGGCAGCTTCAGTATCACAACAACGATCTGTGCAAACTAGATTTTTACAAGAATGTTGGATTTTAAAAGTAAAGACTGTTACAGTGTTAAAGTGACTGAGGAAAGTCACTTGGCCCTACCTCCTGCAAGCTACCAGCAACTGAATACTCAAAAGTATTAGGGAGTCTAGCTCTTGAAAGCCATGACTGGGATCTACTTTGGTGTTTGCTCTAGTCTGAAATCAGCAAGAATTACAGTTTTTGAGAATACAGCTCTCAACAAAGTCCTTGCTTCTTCTTCTGTGGGCGCTTTTAGTCGTTCCCTTTGACTTCACTGGCCTTGGTATTTCAGCACTGCATTGTGGAAATGGTGAGTGCTGGGAGTTGTGGACGTGAGCACTTCCATGTCTGATGGTAAGACGTTCAGAATCAAACGCCTAAATTATGACACCACATTTTAAAACCTGCATTAAGAAAAAGAAGTTTAAAATCCATGAAATTAACATAGTATCACAGTGGGATAGTGAGTTCCTGGGGGTGGTGCTTTGGGTGCCCTTTTCACCACCTGCATTTTGCACGGCTTCTGGCTATAGGTGCAATGTGTGAGCTCTGCTCACTGGTACCAGATCCTGTTGTCTAAAGCTGCCTTTTCTCTTTTCATTTTTATCTGACCAGGTTTTTTTGTCTTTGGTGATATTTTGAGGATTTCAATGCGTCATGTAAATGAATAAAATCTAAGAAGTCGGATATTCATAATTACTCATTTTAAAGAGAACTTGCTAGTATGTAATCTGTCAGGAAAGTAGCACACAGGTAATTAAGGTGAATGTGCAGTTTAAAAGTGGGTTTCTGTTTGTTGGTATTATTGCCTTTGTTAACTTTGATGCTTGGTGTATTTGCTTACGCGGTGGTGGTGTTGGCTTTGAATTCAGCACCACAGTCAACTTTTCAGGAACTGAGAACTATCAGCTTCCATTTTAATGGCAGAATAGATTTTTTCAGTCTTGCCTTGTTTCCTATAGATATATCAAAGGCAGCATATGAATATTATATATATTATATTTAGATGTATAAATGTGTGTATATATACACACGTTTGTATTAAAAAAAAAAAATAATTAAACACTGCCCTGCATGTGTTTTCTCCCATGAAAAGGGTTAGGCCCCAAATGCATCAAATTAAATCACTGATACATAAGCCCTTGCATACTCATTATGATGAGCACAGGGTGGAAACTAGCACGGAAACGAATAGAATAGAGGGAGCTTTTATAGATAGGAGGTTATTATGATGCTGAACGTGACTGCATTGTAGGGGTTGTTACTTCTACAAAATATTCTCCTTTAAAAGGTATTCTCCTTGATGACTTTCATTATAGTTTCTCCCTTAAGCAGTATTATCTAAAGACAGCACAGTTGTTTGTTGGTCTTATCAGGGTGGATATTCATGCCCAGAGAATGTACGTTAACTGCTTACTCATTGTGTAGAGAGCCCTGCAACTGTTAGCAACCCAGTTCCTTTGAAGCTGAGCTATTAAAGTCACTGTTCAGCAGAAAGTCCTCTAGATCTAATTTAGATAAATTCCATTATTGTATTTCAGAGTTCTTTTGCAGTTGTTTGGTAAACAATGAAGGTTCTGTTGCTGAAGGATCCCAAAGACAAAGAGTCAGGACCAGATCCATATATTAAAGTGAGTATACTTTAAAAAAAGTAAACAATTGTGTCACCTAACTATTAAGTAATAGTGTCATGTGTTCAGCAAGGCAGATGAATTTCAGTATGAAAAACGTGCTTAATCAAAATTAGGAATGCATGTCTGAAATTATGATATTTTCTAAGAAAAATAATGAAAATTAGGAGTGCATGCTTGAAGTTATGCTAAGAAAAAAAGTATGCTAGAAAGTTTGGTGTGACTGAAATAATTATTTTAGGTATGGGGCATTTGTACTGAATTCACCGTTAAAGCTCTCAGCAAAGTACTACTATTAAACCCATTCCACTTTAATTTATTAATATTGATCATGTTCATGTGGATAGAATCAAGATTAAAAAAATGTTAGTGGTCTTACTGGGAGTGTAATGTGAGAAAGAGGTTACCTGTTGCTGTGGTCCTTTCTGCTGTTGCCTTCAGACATGCGAGTTGGTCTTACTCGCAAGAGCAGTTCTGTTGACTTTAAAGAATTAGAGAGATGTGCAAGAATATTTGCAGGATCAGGTGATCGTTTGTCACATCGGGAGTTCGGGGTTATGTGCTGGTGTACGCTGTAGCTATTCAGCAGCTAGGTAGGAGGCCTCAGTTCCACAGCTGTTTGTTTAGTATTATGCTGTAATGCTAAATAACTAACAAACCCAAACTAGATTCACTAGTAATAGCAAATAAGATGCCTTTGTATTTTACTTTAGTAAAAAGAAATATTCGTGCTGACCTAGTCAATTCTTTGAAAAAGAAGAAACTACTGTTTGAAATCTGTTTCAAGAGCTATAAACCTTTTCTTAATAGGAATTAGGATTATATGGATTTGAAGCAACTTTGATTCCAGTTTTGTCATTTGAATTCATATCTCTCGAAAGCTTATTTGAAAAGGTGAGTTTTAAATTATGTCTGTTGTCTTATTTTCAACAGAATTTAGGCCACGGCTGCCAAGATGCCGTGTCTTATCTTGATTTAATAACGCCCTTTGTGGTACCTCTTCTTGCATTTCCACACACACAGTGGTATGCAGTACCATATTGTATACAACACAATACAATATTGTATACAATGTCAAGTATGTTGCCCATACTTGTTAAGGAATTAAGTTGGTCAGTTAGAATTCACAGTTAGGTTGGCGGACTGTAGTCACAGGTATCGGGTTTTGTCACAACAAATAATTAGAAGACTGTAGTGACGACTAAAGGTTACCTGTGGTTCACCCTTACATTGCACTGAAACTGTGTACTGCATCTCCTAGTTACATGGAATTAAATTGCATAATTGGTGTTCTCTTTCTACTCTTTCTTCAACGCCTATATTTCATTTTTAATGTTGAAGAGGTTTTCCGAAGGAGATTACCTTTATTGACAGTCTCCAACAGCACCGAACTTTGTTGGGTGTTTAATTCTATCATGATCTGCATTTACAAGTGATCCAAGAACATTTTTCCTTTTGTTGTACTGATCCTTGAGAGCCCGTTAGTAATCTTAACTGTTCTTTGAGGGGGCAAGGAGCTGTCTGGATAGTACCCTCTGTGGTACTACTTTGTTCTCTTGTAAGAATTTGTGAGTACCTCATACATTGTTCGCCCATCCTCCCAGCTCATTTCAGTGACAGGAATCCTTGTCCGTTCCTACAGATTCTCAGTATCAATATAATCTGAGGAAGTTTTGTTCTGAATTTGAGATTTGTTATACATTTCTCTTATAAATACTCTGGCTACTGATTGTAATGAAATGCTTGCCTGTTTCAGTTTCAGACATTTATTGATGCTGTTCTGTTCTTCACAAGGTTATAAAGAATTAAGCAATTTAATTTTTTATTTATTTACTCTTTTTCTTTATTTACTTCTTAAATTTACTGTTTATAAGTAGCTCTCTCATCCAGAATGCTATGGAGGCCTAGTTTTTACCAGTCCAAGAGCATTAGAAGCCATCAAGATATGTTTAAAAGAGAATAGTAAAAATGAAGGTAAGTGTATATTTATATTCCTTGGTCTTTCTGTTTCATTGTTTTGTGACGTTTGTAATTTTATTTCACCCCCCCCGTAAGTGTTTGGATTACACCTTTTTTTCAAAACCTTTATCTCATCGTTCTTTTGGCATCATAAAGGTGTCGTGCTAAATCGAGCTTTTGAGGTTTGGGTTTTCCACACTTAAGCTGTTGTTAAACATGAAAGGAAAGAGCTTTTGATGCAATTTACTTATTAGTGTGAGCTTTTCCAGCTCACACTGGTTATCTCACGCGTAAGGAATATTTTGCTGCAGTGCCTGGTTTTGTGTACTATCTACTTTCTTCCCTTAAAGAGAGGACCATGTTAGAGAAACTGGCCACTGCTACTTCCGTGCCTATATAATTCATATGAAGTCTTAGAGAAAAAGAGATTCTCTGTCTTGACTATAACATTTCTCAGGTGAATTAAGTATTAGCTAAAAAGCGGTGAAGAAATGGTGATACATAGATCTTGTAAACTCTTCTAAATTCTTATGCTAAGTCCTAGCTTCTGGCTTTGAGTTTCTATGTACACTTAAATTATTTTATTACTTTATCTGCTCCATATTTGGGCTGTAGTCATACTAATCAACGTACAGTAGGTAAGGTTACACTTTTGAGGAAGCTGTAAATACGTTGTTAGCATTTCCAACAGCAGAGGACTGTATTTTAGGATTTTTGGTCAAATGTAATCTCTTATCTAGAATTCATCCCTAATCTTGATTAGGCATTTTGGGAGCTGCTGAAATGTGTATTTTAATCAATGTAATGAGTCTTTAGTTCCAATTTGGGTTCCTTTCAAAGGAAATAAATCCTTATTTTTTTCCTTCTTAAGAATAGTTTCCTCTGATTTTTTTTTTTTTTTTTTTTACTGTTATAGTTTCTATTTCTAATTTTTTTTTCCCAAGAATACTAGAAAGAAACTCCATGTCCTAAGCTGTACTGTTTTAAGAGAAGATAGTAAAAGATTTAGTGTATCTGGTTTTGACCCATTAGGATTTCGGGCATAGGGATCAAGTAGCTGGAACCAAGAGGTGTAATCTATAACCTACTTACTGCCAGAAGGTGGAAAACTTTTTCCTAGTAATTTTGTTTTGGTCTCTGGTGCATTGTATTTCTAAGCTGGTAACTTATTTTTGGTGTATGTTTAAAATATAATCAGTCCCTGTATTTTTCTTGTATAAGGAAGAGTTGCATTACAGGGTGTTGTAGTGCATGGGTATAGATTTTTACCCTTTTATTTGTTGTCATAGAAGATCATATTTGTTTTTTGCTTAAGCCTTCAGTTTTAGACCACCACTTTGTATGTCTAAATCTCCCTTTGTACTATGTGCTGGTTTTTCCTACGAGTTTTGATGCTTTTTTAAATTCTTAATGCCAAAATATAAATAAACATTTCAAGTTGCATGGGATCTGGCATAGGGCAAGTGTGCATTAAAAAAGCTACTTAGCAAAAGCAGCTAAGAACTGTTTACTCATATTAGGCTTTTAAAAACATGTTGTAGATTGCTATTTACACAATGAAAAAATACATTAAAAATTTATTTTGTATATTCAGATTTGCTGCAATATGTAGTAGAGTATTAGTTGTTATTATTCTGCTGTATTTGTAGATTAAACTGAAGCCAAAATACTCATTTAGCACTCATATTCTATTGTCACGTGCTTAAATTTAATTTAATGTTTTTCAGCCTGGTCAAAATCTCTTAAACAAAGATGGAATACCAAACCAGCCTATGTGGTAGGAAAAGCTACAGCTTCTCTAGGTAAGCTGGGGTTTAAAGAAAGGAATCTTAGATAAATCTGTCTTGTAAGTACAATTTTTGGAGTATTAGGTCCTATTCAAGGGTGCTTAGAAAAAAATACAGTTAAGTTTTATAAATGCGTAATTTTGAAAACAGGTAATGGTATATGCATTAGAACTATACGTGCCTACTTCATCTTGGGATCTAGCTTCTGATTTGTCATTACTTTTATTGTACTGCGATGGTAACTGCTTCAAAAATTTGGTCAAAAAAGAAAAAAAACCCCTTTGTTCTTAATTTACGTGTGGTTTTTTTTCATTCACTTTGCAAATTAAGCTGGATAAATGGGATTATAACATGATTGCCTGAGATTGTGAGAAGTGTGATGTGCTGGCCCTTTATTCCCTCGGTGTTCCTGCGAGGCGTTTGCCAAACAGAAGTCAGCAGTATACATCCCGTTGTCTTCAGCAGATCAGCTGCTTGACTTGTCTTGACACTAATTTTAATTTGATGCAATGCATATTTTATGTGCATAACAAAAATGCAATGTAGATCTTAGTTTATGAAAGCCTTTCTTATTGTAAAATTGCATTGTAGCTTTAGCTTCCACTGAACCACATAGGAAATACCATGAAAAGACTAACGTTAGAGAATTCTAAAAGTCTGGATGTTTTTCTGCTTCTAGTCCAAAAATAATTTGGCTAAGTACTGGCTACCTCTATAAAAAGCGTATCTTTTCAGGCAGGCTGGTAACAACACTGGATCACCAACTGGTGGCAGCTAACAAGCATCTTGAATCAATGAAGTCCTAAATTAGTTAACTTCTCAGGCATTCATCTTATCCCTACTTCCTTGCTTAAGCAAGAGCAGTGTTACACTCTTAGATTTTCCGATAGGATTTCAGCCTTCACTAGAACAAACAGCAATACGCTCACTGGGAAGAGGACTGCAACCAAACCATGCCAGAAGCCACAGCACATCCAGCGTAGTCAGGCACTGATTTCTGTTTCACCGCTTCGGGTACAAGAGTTTAAAAAAATCTCCAAAACAGCTTAGCTGTCCCCAGAATTCTTCATTTCTACTTTTTTCATGTAGGTCGTTCTAGAGCCTAAATCAAATCTTTCATATCATGTTGCTACTTTAAGTGCTCTAATTTTTTTGCTTTTCAAAGATGTATTTGTGTGCACGGACCAAGTTGTGTCTCCCTTTTCAACCCATGTGTCTGTGACAGTAAATCTGAATTGTTCTCATTGATTTCAATGTTTTCCTTTGCTACTTTTGGTTATAGTGGAAGAAGTTGGCCTTACTCCACAAGGAGAAAAATCTGGAAATGCTGAAAAATTAGCTGAATATATTTGCTCAAGTAAGTATCTAAAATCTTCTATTTAAATTAAGTTATTGTACCTTCTGTTATTTCAGAATTTCCTATAAATAAAATGGAGCGTATACTGAAGCAGAGGAGTACATACTGCATATATCTCTTATGTGTAGAACCCGTGAATTCAGCTTCTGGGAATGTGGGCGATATCTCTGAAAGATGATAAAAAATACTTCGAAATACCTGTACTAAACATTAATTTACGTGAAATCTTAAACTCTTTAATTGATTAATAATACTGCATGACCAGGTAGACAAAGTATTTTTTTACCTCTAGATCAGAGCTATAATGATTGGAAATTGCTGTTTAATCATAAGATTTAAATGATTGTGACGGTAAGTGTGCTGGTTCTCTGTGAACTCCGGGTAACCTGGCTTTCCTTGCTTCAAACCAGTTGATGCTGGGGGTTTTCCACCAGTTTTCCACTATGCCATAGCTCAAAGTAGATAAGGGGAACTGCCTTCCTCAGAATGAACAGATGGTTTCAGAGGAATCTGTTTTTCAGCACCAAAGGAGAGCGGGTTTGGAGACGTTGCAGAAGGGGTTAGTTAAAATGATGGTTTATGTTTTGTTTAACCATTTTGTTACGGTTAAAGCTGTAATGCTGATCTGTTTGCTGCTTCTAAATGTATTATCAGATTGTTATGTAATTTTAAAAGTCTAGTTAGTCTACTTCCTCTTTTTTTTTTTTTAACTATAATTTGTTAAAATTTCCAATAATAAGAAGAAACAGTTTTAGGCTTAGGGGCTGTGGATGGGTCAGTACAAGCTGTGAAAAAAGAGGCTGTGTTTTTGTACAGCCTGGGTTACAGAACTTGGGTGAAGAAAGTCAGGAGCAGGAGCTGCCAGTGCAATGCATTTGACCTCGGAGCTTCTGACACGTGTGGTGGTATTCCAGGGAATCCACGACTGAGGTGCACGCTGCCTTCAGAGTGTCCGTCTGAGTATCGCCCAGGAGGAACAGTTATCAGAAGAAGTCAGCAGAGTTAGTCCCCAAGCTCTCTGAAACTCACTGCTAAAATAATCTCTGTACCAGGTGAAAATCACACCTAAGGCTCAGTATCTCAGCAGCAACCTGTTCGCTGGCGGATCCTTCTCCGTGCTTTTGTATGACCTGGGGTACATCCCCACTCCTGTGAGGAAGCAGGGAGTTGTATAGTGGGGCCTCATAGTGAAATCAGAGGGTAGCTTTCAGTCTGATACAAAGGTATGTCCTTGGCTGAAGGACTTTCTGCCCCAAATTTAGAAAGGGAAACAAAAGCCTTCATCTAGAGGCTTGTGCAGTGTCCGCTAATTGAACGGAGAATGACCAACGCTTTGAAAAGCTATGTTATTCATCCAGTCAAGGCAAACAGCCTGCCGTTGGCTAACCCTAGTCAGAGAAACAAATGACAGTCAGTGCAATTATTCTAGATGTTGGGTGAATTTTTGTATCTGCTGGTTTAAAAGCGCTACTGCTGACTGCACTTTATGAACTTGCTGAATAAGGTGCTAGGTGCTTCAGTAGTGGAAATGATGTTAAGAACCCTGACAGGTTATTTTTGGGTGTTAGGCATAACATTAGATGTGAAAGAGAGTGTTGATTAGCAAAGTCTGCGTAGTAGCAGAGATTTATAGGTAAAAGAAAAATTGATTGGAGCTGGCAAGTACTGTTTTTATGGGCAGAGTGCTCTGTAATTCATTGGCAAATATTTTAACTATATGGAATATTTCATGATAAAAATGATAGTTGTCAACACAAGATTAAATAATAAATTCTGAAAATTAAAAATGCCGTTTTCAACACAAAAATGCCATAAGTGAAGAATAACCCATGTCTACTCTTCAACAGATATTTTAAAGCAAAGACAGGTTTTAGCTGATTTTTTTTTTTAGTGCCAGAAAATCGAGTTTCAGCTGTGAAATAATGTTTGCCAGTTTGCAGAAGGAGGTTTTTTTGGGGGAAGGAAGATAAGAAAAATACCTGTCTTTTCTGTTGTATGAATGTGAAAAAAGCCTAGGATCAGGTCTCAAGAAAACAGTGCGTCAAATACCAGGGCTGGAAAAATTCCTCGATGGTGAGCCAGTGACTGGCACAGTTCTTGCAACGTGGGCCCTTCCTGGTTATTTTCGCTGTCCAGTTGAGGATCACCCTGGCTCTTCCTCCTCCCTGGGGAGCTGCTCGGCTCGCAGACCCTGTTACTTCTGACTGTGGTTGATCCCATGGCTGTGTCCCCGCTGTGCCCGCAGGCTCCTGTGGAGGTAGGAGCTGGCAGTCACGGAGGGAGCCGGACGGGGAGCAGCATTTTTTGGTGACAGCAGAGAAAGCTCAGTCCAGAGCCAGCAGCAGCTTCTGGTAGCCACCACAGGGACAGAGAGATCTGTGTGTCTTACTGCCTTTCCATAGAGTATCCTGCGGGCGGTTTCATACCTGAACACCAGCAGGCTACTTAAATTAACACAGTGCTGCAAACACTTCCATTATCCTTGCAAAAATGACTGCCTTTGAGTACCCTTCAGTTTTGATAACCGACCAGTGAATTTCAATCATTGGAGACTGCTTCTTGTTGATACACATAATCATACTGAGGGATTTATTGCATTGTGCATATTTATGTCCTCTCAATTTATCAGGTGGTTTATAACAGCCTCGGAAGCACAGATTAAATTACATCATGTTCCTTATTGTGTGCTTATTTATTTTTGTTTATGCATAAAATGATAAGTTGGTGAAAAGAATAGCTCTACATTTTTTTAGATCATTCGAATTTATTGTCAGAATAAAAATAAAAACTGAAGCGATGGTATTTCTTTTGTTCTTCACCTTTTGTGCTTTGGTACGGCTTCAGCTTAAGTGACAGGGAAAATAAAGGCAAATATTTTTTTAGTTTTATTGGTGTAACGTTTGTGTTGGTTACAGAAGTAGGGGGTACCATTAGGGCCAGTGCTCGTTGTACTGTTCAGGCCTACTGAGGAATGTTTCTGTGCTTTCTGAGCACAAGTCAAAACGGATTAGTGTTTCTTTACATGGCGCTGCAATTAACTGACATGAGTGGTAGGAGGATTAATGCTGAAATATTCAGGTTTTATCTTCTTATTTTAAAATCTCTTTTACATTCTGTCCCAACTTCATTCTTCCTTCCTATAATTTATTACAAGCATATCTATGGCTTCTAATAAAACTTGAGTGTGCATTTAGGACAGTCAGATATATCTATGGTGACTCCTACTAGGCTCTTTCCATTTGATTTTTACTATGCTGTCCTTTTTTTTTTTTTTTCCCCTGAGGCACCTCTGATGCTTGCTGTTATAAACCAAGAGTCTACTTCCAGCACTTAAAAAACCCATTTATTTTTCTAGTAGTTGTCTCTTAAACATGTGTATTAACATACCTGAATTAGTAATGGCACAACTTGTTGAGGAACTCTCATTTATTTTGGAATGTGAATGCCAAGTTGTGTGCAGCTGTGTAGAATTTCACCTTGAAACTTTCTCTGTATTTGTTATTTATAGAAAAGGCAAACTCAGACTCTTAGGAAAAAAAGTCTGCTGTTAAATTCCTATCCAAAGATCAAATTCTTCCTCGATTAAAATGCTCTTTATCTTTTGCAAAGTGTCAATATTCACCATTATTTGATAAAATCTAGTAGTGAAAAGCTTTCCAAAGCAATTAGCTTAAGCCCTAAATGGAGCAAATTATTGAGAATCGCATACGGACGGTGCTGCCCCCTTCTTCCCGGGGCAGGAATTGCATTCACACTGCAATGGTTATTGTCAGCGTTGGCACCTTCTGCCTCCTGTGCGTGGGCGAACTCGGGGTGCACGGGACGGGGGGGCTGCCTGAATGGAGGAAGCGTAACCCAAGAGATGGCGACACGAACACGATTGCCTGGTGGTATTTTTTTAAGCAGAATTTGTTTATTTCTCTGCTAAAGTATTAGGAACATACAGAACCTATGGAAACTGCATCCCAGCTGTATCATGTCCTACCAGAGTCGAGTTATGAACAGCCAGGTATCAGGAAGATCCCTCCAGAATCTCCAAGGGGCTTTGGCATGTTGGCAATGTAACAATAATTAAGGTTGGAGGTCACTTGCATTTTAAAGGACAAGAAAGAGCAAGTGAGGATATCCACTTCCACCCTAGCAATGGAAGTAGAATCATTTTTCCTTGGGGAATTAAGAAAATAAGACTTTAAGATTGATTGCAACTTTTCATCAAAATCTTTCTGTCCTCTTCTTTGTCTGCCTAAATGTTCTTTTATATGGAGCAAGCTGTCATGGATTGCGTGGGACTAGGACTTTAAATATAAAATTGAGGAAGATTGTGTTTCTGAGGAGGAGGAGATAACTTGCACAGTACTTGTTTTGCTTTGTAGGACAGCAAGGGGAATAGAAATGCAGTTTATCTTTCATGAGATCTTTTTAGTCGATATACTTGTATTATAGTTATGGAATATTTTTTAATTTACATGCTAAGTAGCCTCTGTCCTCTGACTTGTGGATGCAGTTGCACTGCAAATGTTTTCAGTTATCTTAGGGCTGGGTCTGTGATGAAGCACGCGGCATTTACTGCAGTGTTCAACATTTGATACCTTTAAAATGTATTAAATGTGTTATATTTACTCTTTAATAAAGACATAAGTTAATTAAAGTTCTTGTTTGTGTGTTTACAGGAGAGAAACCTAATTCCTCAGCTCTTCTTTTTCCTTGTGGAGCCCTGAAGAGAGAAGTACTTCCTACGGTACTTAGAGAAAAAGGTTGAACTGCCCTTGGAGCCTCATTTTAATTACTCGGCTTTATGAGAAAAGTTGTATCTAAAGCGTGCGAACCAAACTTGAATAAGTAAAAATTGAATTTGCTGTCATGTTGGCTAGAAGTCAGAGGATAGGAGTAAAAACTGAGGTTGGATTGCTGGCCGCAGCTCTGGGACTGAGCTGTAGCCTGACGTGAGCAAGGTTATTTGCCTTTTTCTTCACCTCTCTGAGATGGAAGGTTCACTTGTTCACAGAAGTGTTGCAAGACTTGCCAGTTTTCCGGTGTGCTTCAAGGTCTTCTGATGACAGATGCTTTAGTGTATCTTGCAACTCTAGAAATACCTACAAATCCTTCGCAGAATTTTTGCTGTATCTTTTTAGCCTAAACTAGTCAACTTAAGCGCAGTGAGTATGCTGAGAGTGTTTTGTTGAAATAACAGAAATTAATGAAACCCCGGTTAATTCTGCGTGTGTATTCTGATTCCAGGTATACCTCTGGAAAGCCTTACTGTTTATCAAACAACCCAACACACTGACCTGCAAGAATCACTGAGCAGTTACTTCTCACAGCAGGTATTTGGCACTGATGTAATTCAAGAATTTCTGAGGTATAGGATAATACCTAGCAGAATATACTCTTTTTTTTCAGCTGTCTGTAGATGATACTTGTGGTGATACAACAATATCATGCATAGGCTTCTTTTTTCTTTCTCTTGTTGACTACCAAGAAAATCCTTTAGCAAAAATGTCAGACAGAGCGTGAGTCCCTCAGTTATTTGTTATGGCAAAGACACAGTGCCTCTGTTTGAAGACAACAACAAAACCTTTCACATTTTGTCTAACTTTCAAAATATATGTATGTTTCAGAATTACTGGGAAATAACTGCATAAATAGTTTCATATTCTATTTATTCCTTTGAACTGCACAAGACTGCTTTTTAAGTAATACCATGTCAGAAGTTACATGTAGCAAGGATGTTTATGGAACAGCTTTATTATTAATTTTTATTAGTGCAATTGAAATATCACTGGATATCTTTGCTGTATATTACAAATTGGAATCCAGTAGTAGAATCATAGAACCATTTAGGTTGGCAAAGCCCTTTAAGCTCCCCCAGCCCAACCGCTCCCCTACCCCTGGCCCTCGCCACCGCCTCTGCCCGGCTGTTAAATCCCCCCAGGGCTGGGGACTCGACCCCTTCCCTGGGCAGCCCCTTCCAGTGCCTGACAGCCCCAAGGGGAAGGAATTGTTCCCCATGGCCAACCTCACCCTGCCCTGGCACAACTTGAGGCCATTTCCCCTCATCCCATCGCCCGTTCCCTGGCAGAAGAGACCAACACCCCCTCACTACAGCCTCTAGTTACCTGCCCGACACAGTTTCAGTCTTCCTTTTCTGATTATCCAATTTACGAATGTAGGAATCTCATTTTAAGTGGTGAAATTCCAAGCAAAATGCTGTTGACAAGTGTATTGAGATATATTTGCTAGAATTGTTATTAATGTTTTCCTCTTTTTAAAACCATCAGTAAATGCCATTAATCCAGGATCAGCACACAGTAAAAGATTTGAAGGTAGTAATAATTGCTTTTATTTTTTCAAGACTGGCTTTCTGAATTTTCCATTGGTAGGAGCTTACATCGTGGGTAGGATTAATTTTATTCCAAATGCAGGCTTTCCTTCCTACAGAAACTTGGCCTCCTCGAGCATGCTGCACCTCTTTTTGAAATCTGTGCATTAACGTCTTGTTAAATTACATATTGATTTTAAAATTCCTTTTCAAGACATCCTAAAAGGTTACGCCATGGGCAGTCTGACTGATACATTGTAGTGTCCTGCTGTTCCCAGGAGGCTGTTGCAGCCCCGAGCCCCACCATATTTAGTTTATAGCTGTTATAAACGCAAGTCAATAGTACATTCGCATTTTGGAACTTTCTGAACTCTTTTTATGGGACTCCTTGCTTGCTGCAATTAGATGTTAGTTTAGGCGTAAAGCTGTTGAAATGTGTTTCTCATGCACTTCTTAGCTGTTCTTAACTGATGATATTGTGGTTATATATTGGGTGCGTGGAGGGCTGACACAAAATGACAAGCGTTTAGCACTTGGTGAGACAGGGAGCGGCCCCGTTAAACTGTCGTCGTGGCCTCCTGAGCTTCCAAGTCACGCACCGTAAAGTAACAACAGATGTAGTTGGAGCAGAACGAGTGTATCTTTCTTGTCAGACAGAAAATCATGATAAAGCAAGCATGTGCTTTGGGTCTGCAGCTCAAGAGCTGGGACCTTCACTCCAGACAGAAATTTTGCCAGTTTTTTGGCTACGGAAGATTGCTGCTGCTATCCTAGGGCAGGCTTATTCCGTGAGAGAAAGCCCTTCCCGGGGTCTGCAGTTTTAAGGCATCACCTCGTCTTTGCTAGAGCATCTCGGAGCGGGCAGAGCTCAGGGTAAACCACGTGAGCTGGGAAACAGAGAGTATGTGCAGAACGGAGGGAGGTGGGAATGGATTTAGGGAAATAACTTGTGGAGTTTTGTTGCTAAACAGGAAAATGAGTACGGCTCCAGAACGCTTTCAGTACATTTATCAGCAGGTGCTTGTTTGGCAAAGTGGTTGGTTAAAGGCACACCTGAATTTCAGCGTCCTGTGGTAGAATGGGGGGTTGGCAGGCTGGCTGCACCAAGGGAAACCCTCTCTGTTGGCTTAACTGCTGTTCCTCATCAATAAAAACACTTCACATCCGTATGGAGGCATTGAAGGGATTTACGTGGACAGACCGCTGGAATAGCGAGTGACCTATGCCAACCTATGGTTACTTTTACTCAGGGAATTCCAGCAAGCGTCGTCTTCTTCAGTCCATCTGGTGTCAAATTTTGCCTCCAGCACATTCAGAAGCTTTCGGGGGATTTTATCAACAATATCAAGGTATCTTCTCTTTAAAAGCGGTGAAATACCACACGGAGTAAGTTGGGGGGGGGGGGGCAAAGGAGGGAGGGGAAAGCAG